TTTTATATATAAAAATTTAGTTCAAGATAACAACATATATCACAAAAATTATCTTATTTTTTTAAAATATAATATCATATAAATTCGTTTTATTTTAAATAAATTATATATAAATATTAAAAATATGATAAATAAACAAAAGTACCTAAATTTGTGGAGAACATGACAACTAAGCAAATTTACTTCTTAAATAATAGTATAGATTTTTTTTAAAATATAATAGCATATAAATTCGTTTTATTTTAAATAAATTATATATAAATATTAAAAATATGATAAATAAACAAAAGTACCTAAATTTATGGAGAACATGACAACTAAGCAAATTTACTTCTTAAATAATAGTATAGATTTTTTTAAAATATAATATCATATAAATTCGTTTTATTTTAAATAAATTATATATAAATATTAAAAATATGATAAATAAACAAAAGTACCTAAATTTATGGAGAACATGACAACTAAGCAAATTTACTTCTTAAATAATAGTATAGATATATATATATATATATATCTATTATATAAAGTAATGTATCTCTCCTATTTTAGAGTGCCACATAGGATGCCAACTAGATAAGTCCACGTAGGACAACTTTTACCCCCAAAATCCATCTCTTTCAATTGTATCTCCCATGTTTTCTCCGCCTCAATCGAAGAAACCGATTGATGGGTGATTCAGTTTTCTTGGTCTGATCAAAACACAGCTGATCCATCATCAGACTTAATCTTCACACTCCACAACACAACGCTTTTTGGTTTCTCCGTCTCCAGACGCTCCTCTGGAGTTCTCATGTCGAATTAGCCATAAGGACGAAGGAGTCATGGAGATCTCTGATTCGGTGCCGCTCTTTCACTCTAACCTCATTCTCCTTCCTCCTCTCGAGATCGCTCATCACGGTTACTTTCTCTTCTTCTTCTTATGTTTTGAATTGGCTTCGAAATTGGACTTTGATATTGGCCTACGGATTGTGGAGTTTAAGTTCATCTACAAAATGAAATTGTCTCCTTGCTTCTCTGTATGTTGCTTTAGTTTCAGCTAAGTCTTATTGTTGTGTCTATTCTAACATAGAAGGTTTGGAACATGATTTTTTTCGCTTTAACAACAAACACAACGTTGTTATGTAACTGTGTTTGATAGAGACTTAGTGTTTGTATCCATGTGTGCGTTTGATGAGAAAAAGGATGATTTTTGCTGTTTGTATGTGTTTAGATAGAGAACCATTACGTGGCTGAGTATTGTTGGGTACTTTCACGCCAACGAGAGGTTCAGTGATGTGGAGCTGGTATGGGCGAAGAACCTTGGTGATCACATCTATTGCTATTTTCCTTTTCCACCGATTAAGTATTACCTATAATCAGATCTAGGTAACCATCTTATGCTCTTTCATTTTTTAAACAACAAAAAGCTTGGATCCTTATATAAGGGTAAAGATCGAATCCATGTGAAGCATGTTGACATTTCTAACGAGGAAAAGGTCTTAAATAGCTTAGAAGACAGCCATTAAATAAGTGATAGCTATATATATAAAGGTTACTCACCAGTATATCTATCTTGGCATTATATAATAGATATAATGTTAATAATAGTTACTGTCTTTCAATAAGCTCAACTCAGAATATTGAGAGTCTTAAAGTTCGATTTTTTTAGTACTTGCAATCATTATTTTTATTGCATCCTAAACACATGCTGTCAACGTTAAGATACAAAACATGACCAGACTGTTTACTTGAATTGTGTTAGTGTTGCCAACCTTCTTGATACCAAATTCATATTGTTCTTTTATTTTGATACTTTCTGCTGATGTAATTTAATTTTGCTGCAGTTTACTGATACTTTTGTCTGCATTGCGTGATACCTCTATGTGAAAGATGCTTCCAAAAACTGGAGTGGTTGGAACAGCTGGAAGAAACAAACTACTTTTAATGACTAATGTCTTATCCATAAACATGCTCTCTCTCTATCTTGACAGCGATTGCTTTGGTTTATGTTTCAGCCAGAGCAGAAGTACGAGCTTGTGAAGAAGTTGCAAGAACTGAAGCATATATGTAGGATGACTGGTGATGGATGCTCCAGCTTTGAAGAGAGCCAACATTGGTATCGCTGTTGCTGCTGCTACAGATTTGCATGAGGCACTTCTGACCACGCGAGCCTTGACTCAGTGTTATCATCAGTGCGTTGTAACCACACGAGCTATTTCCCAAAGAATAATGAGCTGTACAATCAGTTCTCTCTTTTAAGCTATAGTTTTTCACTGTATCTTTTTTCTTATACAATCCCATTTTGTTTTCCCATGTTTTCTAACAGATTTATGCAGTCTCAATCACCATTTGCATAGTGGAAAGTACTCAACGTTGCATGAACATCAAATCTTCATGTTTACGTTCTCTTTGTACCTCTTCTATAGTTTGGGTTCATGCTCATTGCTTTAATATGGATAGTGAGTTTTTTTTTTTTTAACTTAGATAGTGAGTTTCTTTCTTCTTAAAACTTCTTCCTAGTGCTTCACATATTAACTACTCAACATGAATAATCATATGACTATCTCAAAGGAAAAAGTCGTGCCTCCTCCTACACCAGATAGCTGGAAAACTTCCTCCAAATGCTTCAAATAATCTTTGCAACTGGCATTGTCTTTGGAGGCTATGACTTTACTGGCCATCGTTTTATTCTGTGCTGCTTACAGAACCAACTTATTCTCGGCATCTAACATATAAACAATCTTTCTCTCTTTTTCTTCAATCAACTTCTCCATCACACAAGCATAACTATCATTGTTCTTTTCTTTAGAGAACATTCCATGTAAGACACTTGAGAGGCAATGAATATGAAATGATGTCCACAAGTCAGTAGTGTGGGGCAAGCTCTTAAATTCATCACTTCATCAAGAGGTAAGTATTTTGTAGAACGACCTGGTTTGTTTTTATTGTCCCCTAATAGCAAAAGCGGTAAAGCATAAAACATTGTCTCCTAACACTATTTTACATTAAATATAGTTTAGACAAAAAACTATTACACATAATCCGCGAGTACACTGATCTAATATGATATTATAGTAAAATAAATAGCATTTTTATAGAAAATATATAGATATTTTCAACATCATATGAAGAAGATAAATTCATAATAAAAAAGAATGTATATAGATATCATATTATCTTATCATTTTAATAATTTAAATATATATTAAATTAATTTGAAATAAATATAAACTTTATTATCATTTTCTAAAATTTACTTACATGTGGATATATAAAAGGAATACAAAATCATTTAACATTGTATATCGCTAAAAATAAATTATAATTTATCTATATTAATGAAATTAATAAAATTTAGTTATAGTTATTTATTTGTACTAAATTATAACTTCTATGTAAATGATATAAATTCGATGACTAAATATCATTCACTTTAAATGTATAGTTTGAATATTTATATAAAAAATAATTAAATTTAAATCAGATTATAATATCTACTAAATAAAATAAATAGTTATTTACTAATGACATATAACTAATTTTAAAAATAAGATTAATTAATTATAATAAATTCAATGTAAAAGAAATTTTATCATTTATTTTAAAACCCAAACTATGAATTCAGATAGCATGATTTATTTGATTTTAAAAATAATCACATATAAAATTATATATAGTTACAATTTTTATAGGATTCCTTTACCTACCTATTTTAAGTAATTTTATTATAATAAATAACCTATTTCTGCATTGTATAACTTAATAATTTTAAGAAAAATGTATAAATGCAAAAAGTGTCGTCAAATTCAAAAAATTAACATATAACAATTTATTCATGTTTTGTGTGTTGAACATAATCGAGTACAGTCTTTAAACTATTTTACTTATTAACAAAGTTAAAATAGAACAAATATTGAGAACAAATTAAAACAATAACAGTTTTATATCTTTTTAAATGATGAAACAAGTATATAATAATAAAATAATAAAAATGCAATGAAAACAGAGAAAACTTTTAATTGAATTTTTATTTTTTTCTATGCAAGAATTAATGTAATTTTTTTGTTATTTCTATGGAAGAATTAATATTAGGAAAAATCAAACAATTTTGACAATGAAACAAAGCCGCAACAAAGCTAAAACATCTTTTCATATTGGCAAACAACAACTGTAGTAAAGGTAACTATCTCGGTACCTATCTTTATGCCATAATTTTGCTACGCACAAGAGAACATGAGGAATGCAAATGGAGAAGTTCTTGGATTTTGTTTTACGGTGACTAACAAATCTCTACACTCATTGACCGCTACTCAGTTTTACACTTTTGGGGTTCAATTTTTTTTTAAAATTTTTGATTAGGTTCACTTTATCTTCTTCGCATTCATTATCATTCAACTTTTAATAAGAAATGCAGCTTCATATAATCACCACTTCCACTCTAATAACATGTCGAAAGAATATAATTTCAACATAAAAAAGTAATTACTCTTATAACATACACAAACAATTACCTACAACATAATTCTTCTGAACCCAAAATATTACAAACCACCTGGATATGAAATCAATTTTTGTTAAAGAAAACAATGTAAAGATGATTCAAAGCCTTCACAGCATGTCAACGCCACATTCTTTAATATAGAAACAACTATTTCGTTTTAAATATATCTTATCACATAAAATCCTTTCATATTTAAATTTTTTTGGAAAACAAAAATCATTATCATACACATATCTTACAGATGCAAACATAAACCACAAATCCTAAAATCATACAAAAAATAATAACATAGTTAACAAATAAAATATATCCCGTCCGTAGGACGGGCCGACCCTAGTATATATATATTTTTTTGTTATTGTAGAAAGAATCGTTTTTGAACCCAACAGAGTAAGAATAAATTTTGAAGAAATTGCTATATTTTTTCTCCCATGATAGAGAATTAACATAATATAGAAAAAATCTAGAAAATGCAGGGAATGACACATTTCCCCCACTCAGTGTCTTGACTTAAAAAGCAAAACAAAAACAAAAAAACTTCTAGAGAGTTTGTGCGGATATGGCGACGATGAGGATGGCTTGCTTAAACCACATCACTGCCACTACTCTGCTTCCGTGTCTCTACAACGGGTCAATTCTTCCCCGCCGCTCCTTTCGTGTCCGAAATGGTAGTTCTCGAGAACGAAAGTTTCATCTACGATGCGCCTCCTCACCTTCTGATTCGTTGCAGTTTGATTTCTCTCCGCCTCCGATCGATCACGATCTCCTTGTAAACTTCTTCTTCTCTCTACCACTTCTAATTTCTTGAAATTCTTCCATTAATTAATTATCTTTGGGACACTTGTAAAGGATACTATTAGTGATGGTGGAGGTAAAGTTTCAAAAGACGGCGTCGTTGAGAGTTTCCAAAACGACGATGAGGCTTTAGATGCTTTTGATACTGGAGTTGTGGTATGTTAACTTTGAACTCTTTGGCTTTCTGATTCTTGTTTGATCAACATTTTGTTTTCACAGGTCGTGGACCTCTCGCATTTTGGCAGAATACGAGGTATTATCGTGTGCTTTCTCTCACTCTAGATATTGCAACTCATTTTCGCTTAATGTTTTTGTTGCTGTTTTACTTTTTTTTTACTACTAAGTTAGTGGAGATGACCGCGTCCATTTCCTTCACAACCAAACTACTGCAAATTTCGAATGTCTTAACCAAGGACAGGTGAGAACTATCTAAAGCATATTTTTCTAGATTGTTGCTTCTGTGACTTGTAACCCACTTGTGTGGGATATGTTGTTTTTAAAGGGATGTGACACCGTATTCGTTACCCCAACAGCAAGGACGATTGATATTGCTCATGCCTGGATCATGGTACTAACATTCCTTCCTTCCTTCTGAAATGGAGTTTGGGTTCATCTTTATTTATCATGAAAGTTCCAAATGATTCTTTCACTTTGCAGAAAAATGCAATAATGCTAATGGTTTCTCCAACCACGTGCCGAACCATAATTGAGATGCTAAACAAGTATGTTATTAACTTTCCATCCCCTTTTTCTCAATTCTCATACAAAAAGAATGAGGTGGTTTCTTTGAAAGGCAAAGCTTTTGTTTGGAGAATCGTGATGTCACTTACTTCTCATTCTTAATCTTCTCAGGTATATATTTTTTGCTGACAAAGTAGAGATCAGTGATATCACCAAGAAAACTTGCTTATTTGCTTTAGCAGGACCAAGAAGCAACGAAGTAAGATTTTCTTTCTTTTATCAGAGTGACCATTTTCTCTGCTATGGTAATTCAGATATATATTTATTTATGCTTATGTAAAAGAAACTTGAAACAGATTTTGTCTAAACTGAATCTGGAAGATCTTATTGGGCAGCCATATGGCACGCATAAGCATTATAGTGTAAGCCTTTTTTTACTTACGCTCGAAACCGAACTTGTGAAGCGGCATGTAGTAATAATATGTTCCTTTCTTTTTCAGTTCGATGGAATGCCAATTACAGTTGGGGTCGGGAGTCTTATTTCAGATGAAGGCTTTACCATGTTAATGTCACCAGGTGGTGCTGCTTCAGTCTGGAAGACTCTCTTATCTGAAGGTGCAATTCCAATGGGTTCTGTAGCCTTGGAGAAACTGAGAATCATTCAAGGTTAGTAAAACTATAGTACAAATATCATTCAAGGTGCACAATTTGTTTTTTTCATCGATGTCATGAACATTACCCGTTAACCTCGAAACTCCAGATGTCTTGAGTCTGTTGTCACAACTTAAGGCATATTTGTTTGATATTCACCTTAATATTAGACAACAATCTCGTAAAGATGATTTCAGATTTGGAAGCAGTGTTCTTTATCTATTTTACTTCCATTAGCAAAACAGAATTTTTCCAATGGCGCGTTTAGTTAGTGAAATATGCAGAAATTTATATGTTTCTCAGGCCAAAAGCATTGATGTATTGCAGGAAGACCAGCACCTGAAAGAGAACTCAGCAAGGAATACAATGTTCTTGAAGCGGGTCTATGGAACTCAATCTCTTTGAACAAAGGTACTCAAGAAGCTCTGCTTAGTGAACTAAAAATGACACAAGAAGCGCCCTCATTAACAAAATTCATACTACTCAGGATGTTATAAGGGGCAGGAGACTATTGCAAGACTCATAACATATGATGGAATCAAGCAAAGGTTGTGTGGACTTGAACTCTCTGCACAAGCAGAACCCGGCAGCACCATCACATTCGACGGGAAAAAGGTTTTGAGCATTAGCGTGCATATCTAAGTTTTTCTAAAACAAAGAAGAGTCTGCATTTTGTTTTAATATTCCTTGACTGGTCGACGAACAATACTTTCAGGTCGGGAAGCTAACTAGCTATACTAGAGGAAGAAACAGATCTAGCCATTTTGGATTAGGCTACATCAAGAAACAAGCAGCCTCAATTGGAAACACAGTGACTGTAGGGGAAGACATTTCTGGGATAGTTGCTGAAGTCCCTTATCTATCCCGGCAACATCCTCCATCAACCAATCCGAGTTCTTGAGTTAGAAGAAAAAAACGCTATTGTACAACCGGTTGTCTTATGCAGCCTCTGGTAATAAAATGAAACCTTTTTACATATTTGTTTTGAGATGCGAGTATATTATATTGGGGTTCTCCTGGTAAATTAAAACCTTAGTATTGATAGATAGGACAGTGATGAGAACAGCAGTTCGAGGTGTTAGATAGTCATGGACAACTGCAGCTACGCCTGTTGGTAGGTTTAGGAGTACAATTGCAGTAGTATGGGTTGTTTTAATATCTTAAGCCTAATTTAACACTAGATTATGCTCCGCGTAACACAACAGCTTGTATTTTATTTTAGTTAATTACATAAATTTTATAAATTAATACAATATTGTTTAGTGTTAAAAAAAATTTAGTTGTATAATATTATTTTATTTGACTTAATTAACATCATATAATTAGGTTTCCCTATTTGGGTATTCGGTTCGGTTACTATATCGGATATATCGTTCAGTTCCGGGTATATCGGATAAATCATGCCTATACCCAATGGTCAATAGATATTTATAAGATTTGGATTCGGTTTGGTTTCGGGTACTCGTTTAATATGTGAATCATATATATATATATATATTAGTTAATATGTTAATTTAAATGATTTAGTGTTTACACATTTACATATTCGTTGATCCAATAAAAGTTTGAGTCAATAAAGTGTTAGTTTTATAAATATTTACTGTATTTTAATATAAAATATCATATATATTTATATATTAAGAGAGTAGATAAAAGATAATGTAGTCTGATCAATGTTCTCATTCTTCCTTTCCAACTTAGATTCAAGTGGGTATGATGTTATTTTATCTTATATTAAAAAGGTTTTATTTATCTTTTGGATATTAGGATATTTGTTTGGTTCTGATTCCGGTTTGATTCTTCGGATAAGAAATATAGGAATCATTCAGATATTTCAAGAATTTGTTATTGTATCGGTTTTAGGTATTTTTTGGCCCAGAGCTAATTATAATTATTTTGTGTAATTTATATTCTAATAATTTAGTTTATATTATAATTTGTTTTTTCACTGTCTATTCTTTGTGTCCCGACGAATCGGAAGAGCTAAACATTTCTTCATTCTTGATAAATTGTTTACAATGAAAACAATAATTGATGGTTACATGAACTTCAAAGGACCAAAAAATTAGACAAATAGATTTTTTTTACTGGATTGGAAATAAAGCGGATGTATAGTTTACAACAATATATTACGAGTAAAAAAGGGGCCTCTCTCTCTATATTTTTTCACTATACATCCTGCAATATTGGGACCGATTGGTTATGGCTGTAGCTTAAAAATTTTAATTGTAGAAAAAATGTTGTAGTTTTTTTTGTTGTATCTTTAGATTTTATTACTGTAGATTATATGGAAAACTCAAAAAAGTTGTTTTGAATATTTGGTTCTAGAAAACATTTGTACATCTATAGATTATTTTAGGAGTTGTAGTTTTTACAAAATCATTAAAGCTTGATTGCTGTGAATTTGGTGCTTTAGAAATATATAGTGCTTTGGAGAGCACTTACAGTCATTATCTTTTTTTTTTAACACTGGTTAATTATGCATTACAAATTATGAGAAATATTACATAGACGATATTACAGCCGACAATTCTACCTGCCTTATGCGGATTCACGTCTGACTGCATCACCCTGAGCCGCCCTATGAGATCCATACCTGACGGTACTCCTTGCGCCATGCTGAAGATCTCTTGTAAGCTTTTTCTCCAATCTGCATAATTCGCCATCCACCTTCTCTGGGAGTTGAAACCCTCTTGGTGTAGAAACTATGTAAGATGTGCCAAAACGTATTTTTAGTTATTATTTTTTAATTTTTTTAATTAAAGATTGAAATCTAATAAGTTTGGATTTTTAATATTTTGGATATCTGTGCAAAATGTATTTTCAGATTTACAAAATATATTAAACGAAACACTAAAAATTTATTATTTTAAATTTTGCTATTTTTTCCTCTTCATTTTTGTTTTCTTGTTGTTTTGTTTGATAAAATGTAATATTTGTTTCAACTATTGAAACCTTCAAGAGAAAAAAACATAGAAGAGATTATAAGGGTAAAGGGTTTGAGAGAACAAAGCAAAATCTGGTATGGAGAAGAAGAAACAGCTACCTCACGATCAAATCCCGGCTGGCATTTTTTTTAATATCCTCTTGGTATTGGCATATTGCCTGTAGAAGATCTCTAGCCAGGTTCGTTATCGTTTCAAGAAAATGGGTATCAATCATTCGCGGCAAACATTTCACCAGATCCTACTCATTCCGTACTTTCTCACAGAATCAGCATACTCTCTTCCTCTTCGCTTTCAACAAAGAAATAAAGGGTAATCAAGAAAACTGGTACATTTTCTCAAAAACCTACCCCTTTTCCACTCCTCTAGGCTCATTCCAGCCAGGAACGGGATATGAGGAGGCTAAAGATCTTGTTGTGGTGGAAACACCCTAATTTTGTATGAAAATCATTACAATACAAAATATTTGGAGATGCAGTTCCTAGGGGAAAATCTAAAATTATTATAGATTCATATGAAAATTGTTTAGAACAACAGTTTGGGGTATTATTATATTTATTGGCAAATCATATTAGGACAACTACAAAGCCGCATGTTGTTAGATTGAGGAGTGCAAGTGCAGGAGACTGGGCTAAGCCTTACATATGGATACCAAGTACTTAATAAATCATTTAAACATTCTTGTGCTCCATTTGAGCATGAACCACTGAACGCTTGTTTTTTCGATGGGCACCAAGGCCTTATCTGCGAAGCAGTAACACTTTCTTCACCTATAATTCATCAACATAAAAATTGAGTTAGAAAAGTTGGTTTGAGTTTAAATGGAATATGATAACAAAATGGTACTCTCGATATGATGGTTAGACCTTGGGAAAAGTGGCTTGGGAGCAAGGAGAATAAAATACAACAGGCCAAGAAGATTGCAGCCAACTTCATATTTTCTTTGTTCAGTATCTTCTTTTTCTAGGTTTGTTTGTTTTTTTTATAAAAATGTGTAATATAACTAGTGGGTGAACAAGCACTAATATTATATAGTGATATATATACCCAAATACATTTGATGGTACATATCTATTCAGAGTAAAAATGGAATCAGTATTTTATGGTAAGCTATCTTTCTTACAAAAGCAACCATTCAAATTGATAATTTATTACTTATAGCAACAGAAACAAAAACAATATACTTTAATTTTTTTTAATAAAAATGAATGAATAATAAGACATGTTTACGAAGGGTCTTAATGGATCAAGGATTTGAGAGGATTTCATTTTTTTTTCTTAAATCCTCTCTTACTGTATATAGGATTTATGAATTCTATATGAAATCCAAGCTTGTTGGATTAATTATTTGTATAAATTATCCAAAATTCCAGTTTATTGAAAAATATGGATTTTGTCAATAAATTCATCAAATGGGATTTGGTGGGATTTAAATGATATTTTATTGTGTAAAACAACGAATTGAAATACCATATCCTATGATGGTATTTGGAACATAAAAGAAAAATAAAATAACTTCAATTAAAAAAAATCAAATTGTTTGAATGAAAAAAAAATTATTTAACAGTTAATTTTTGACAATTTATATATTTCATAAACTGATAATAATATCAAATTTATAGTAGTTTCGAAAGTAAAAATAATATTTAAATAATATTTAAATTGGAAAGGTTCTCAAAAAATCTAAAAAAATTTTAAAGACCCATAAAACTTGTAACAAGTTTTTTTAGGATTTATTCAAATCTCGGATTTCGGTAGATTTATTCAAATTTTGAATTTTCTCAAATCTTTGATTCAAAAAGTAAATATATTATTTAAAATAATTAAATAAATTGAAATTTTTGTTTTCAAAAACTCTAAAATTTCTTTAAAGTCCCAAAAAAACTTGTAACAAATCTTTTTAGGATTTGAGTAGATTTACTGAAATCTCGGATTTCCTTAGATTTATTCAAATCTTGAATTTTCTCAAATCCTTGATTCAATAAGCACTCCAACCACCCCCAATAAAATTAGTAACAAATATTTTTAGGATTTACTCAAATCTCGAATTTCCTTGGATTTACTGAAATCTTGAATTTTCTCAAATCTTTGATTCAAACCCCCCCCCCCCCCCCCTTAAAAAAAATCTTTTGAAAGAGGTTGCAGTACGTTCAATAGTAGGGTATCTATTAATATGTTATCTAATCTATATTATATGGGGTACTAATTAATTTTAAAATTTAATTTAAAAAGATATGTTTTTCAACTAATTATACTTTTTCTAGTTATATTATTAAAACTGATAGTAACTGGTTGAGATTATTCTGGTTTACATTAAAATTACTTTTTTAATTATTAAATATTAAATGGGTAGATTCAGTTTAAATATATTAAAAATAAGAAAAATATACTTTTAGGTCTTATGTATTCAGATCTGTTATTATATATAAATTATGTTTAAAAACTAACATAAAATATTTTTTATAATATACCACTAGCCTAGTATCCGCGTTGAACGTGGGTTTTATGTTTATTATTACATATTTAACATTATTATTCAAATTTTACATAATTGGCTTATTTAAATATTCTTTACATGATTAAAGCTGAATAATTTGACTCATGAAATCGACTAACACTTGTTCTGATATATAGGTTTCTGTAGAATATTTCTTTTTGAAATATATTGACATACTATTTTATATTGACATAAGTTTCTTATGAGTTTTTATCGAAATACATAGAAATACAATTTTAGTCTAAGCAGCTTAAGAAACATAATTTTACGTATAAAAATACTAAATGAGATGATACACATTTTGTAAATAACTTTAGTTTACATAACCTAGTAAATCTAATTTATATCATTAATTTCGAGAATCTAGAACTTTAATTTGAATTTGCCAACAAATTTGAAGTGGTTTAAGATCTTATAGAAATTTCATTATTTTAGGAAGAAGTGTTAATATCAAAATATCTTTTGTGCAGTTTAAAGAACGTTTAAAGGGATAATAGGAATGCTCCATGCAAACTAAAAATGTTAACATATAGTGTTTAGTTTCCAAAATATTTAATTTAATTAATGCATAAAATTATATGTAAACTGATAAGTCATATATATTAGTA